GTACTAAGTTGCCGGCTATTAGGGCACAATTACAGTGAGTGATCGTTAATTACTTCAGAGACATATTAATAAGACATTCATCCTACGATTACTGCAATGAACTTGGCCGGCGCGGCTTTCATTAATTAGTAACGAGCTGATCATTTAATTTCTTAAATTATTGGATTGCAAAAAGTTCTTAATTAAATATTTTGAGCTTGATATTTCATTAATTATAATATGAGCACAAAGTAGATTGATTAATTATTAATATGATAAACGCGAGTATCGAAAAAGTCAATTAGGAAGCGAGCATGAACTAACATCCAAGGTCGCCTTTGTCTTAAAATAACAAGGCAATCACAACCCTCGACAGCTTGTACTGATGATTAAATATTTAGGATCCATCAAAGGGATCACTGATTCTCTCGTCCCTAATCCGATATGTATACCTTAAAAATTTAGCATTAATCAAATTGTCTCACCCCCACCCCCTACTTCGTGTGCGAGCGCGTGTTCATAGAAATTCAGTATTTGAAATTACAAATCTTTTTATGAAAAAAAATTTAGATAAGTTGGATCGTATTTATTAGGATTAGGATATACTTGCAAAATTATTTACTGATCACCCACTAACAATATTCTTATATTAGAAATGGATTTGCATTCACAACTTTATAAGTTATGAACTCATTCCTTATTAATTGGATCAATTCTTACTAGCTAATGGTTATAATCCTGTGCGAGCATGTGTCAGAGAGAGGGAGAGTAGGGTGGATATTTCAGATAGAATTATAGCTAGAAGCTGTCACATGTCAAGTAATGAACTTTACTAGTAAACTAATAAGGTATGGCGTTATTAATTAATTTATATATATATTTATATAGCCTTTAGTATTAGGTCAGATATCTTGGGTGCGGGTAAATGAAGATTCAAGGAGAGATGGATGGATCGCAGATTAAATGATGGCAACAAATCATCCAATACCAACTATTGTATTGTGTGTATTTATTAATAAAAAAGAGTATATAAGTTTTTAGAGCCTCAAATTATCATTTATGTAAAATATATATAACTTAATTTTATTTCATTAGTGCAGGTTACAAACTTACAAGTCAATAACGGATGATATATATATATATATATATATATTGAACTTTATTTGGAAGTTGCTTTCACCTAACGTGACATGCAATTTTATATGTAGACTTCTCAATTAATGGAAATAAGGACTTTGCATTTGGTGGAATTACTTGTAAGAGGGGCCTTCACAAGACACACAGAATTAAATTTAAATCCTTTCAATTTTCTTATTAGTTTTGAAGGGAGATAATAAATATATGTTCATATATACTTTTTAAATAATGCCTAACATCAATATCTCAAACAAGAATAACACAATTAAGATAATGTTGTGCGCAAGCAAAACAGAAATGCTAATATATAAGACTTAATTGGTCGGTTTAGCAGGTGTTTACTATCCCTTAAAGAAATCACTAGATGCTCGTTATTAGATAAATTTTTTTAATCGATTTATTTTAATATATCTATCCTATACAGCTTAAAATTACTTAAAATTTATTAGATTATTTTGTGTCAAAACTACAAATCTTTTGTGTTAGAAGTAGACGTGTCACTTAATCGGTGGATTTGTCAGAAACTATATACTACCTCCGGTCTTAATTATAAGAGCCTGTTAACTAATTTGAGGAGATTAAAGAAATAAGTTGAGTTAATTATTGGTCCTAAATAGGTGTTGTCTTTCCTAAAATATCCTTACTAACCAAGTGTATTGACTAAAACTATCATTGTTATAAGGGCTGCTTTGGAAAAAATGTATAAATATGAGAAACAAAGTGGATTATGGTCTTATACTTAGGACCAAAATAAAAATCAAACAGGATATTATATTAATGACCAGAGGTAGTATATTTTATACATAATCTGCTAGTTTAATTTATTGATTAGGAGAAAGGCTCGATCCAATGGCTAGCCAGTGTGTGTGTATATAAATATGGGTAAAATATTATATGTTGGATAATCAGATTCCTCTTTCAATCATTGGGTGAAGCCAGGCCAAACGGATTAGATTTCAAACATAAAATAACAATAATAATAAAAAGAAAAACTTTCAATAGGTTGAATTTGTTTTCCTAATTAATTAATAGCTCACATCTAAATGTAAATCCCCTTGTAAAGTTACAAGGCTGAACCACAATATATGAAGCCATCTTTCATTAAAAATTAACAAATCAATAATTAAAGAGAATATAATCAAACACTTATGAAGGCTAACAAACTGATATCTTGCTTCTTCACTTGTTGGAACTGCAAATTAAAGCCACTTTTTTTGCTTAATTTCTATTCCCACAGTAAATAGCCTTACAAGGCACATGAAGGCACAAAACACCACAGTAATTAACAAGGTTCAATCAGTTTAAAAGGCAAAAGTTATTTCTCCTTTAATTTTTTTAATAAAATACAAATAATTTAATTTCTCTGATTTTCCCCCTACTTTATATATGTAAATCATTTCAGAGAAGTGTAAGAAATAAAGTGCCCAGTTGGTCCTCGAGAAGCCACTGGGCATAGCAAAACACAACACATACACAACAGGTTTCAAAAGGATGGCCTCTTATAAGCACTTAATTATTGCGAACGTAATTAATCAGATTGTGAGTCCCATTACAACACACAAAATTTGATAAAATTCATAGTTTATATATAATATGACTCAGTACAAATTTTATGATTATATTATATTATTTACATGCTTTTTGAGATGCTGCCAACGTCAATTTTTGGCTTTTGAAGCTGACATGGTACACTCACACGGTCACACCTCTTCATATACAGATCCTTCCAAAATAATCAGATATTAAAATAAAGAGTTAAGGTTTATTCAGTATTATGAGATGTTTTCTCATATACATCCAACATTTTAAAGTATTTTATGATTTATTTAGTTTTTTGAAATATTTTTTAAGTTCCCTCTGCCTTTTAAAAAATATTGAAAAAATATTTTAATATGTTGGACATCCTTAATTTTAAAATAAATGGTTACGCTCAAAATACTGGGCCATCGATTGTTTGTATATTATGCATATATATACACACACACATGTGCGTGTAGGGTTAATTAAGAAAGTTTTTACAATTAGATTTGAATTTTTTTTTCAGGAAAAAAATAATCGGTGTAAGCAATAAATTAATTAAGACATGTACGGATAAATAGATAGAATAATAAAAGCTAGTTAGGGTGATGATACAGTCCGGGACGCAAGAAAATGTGCCAAATTTTAGCTGTATTGCTATTGCCAGCGTTTTATATGTTATGTTACATAGCTAGCTCCACCCAAAAATAAAGAAAGGAGCTTTATTCCTACGGGGAGATAATTACGAGCATAAAAAGTTTGATAAACACTTTTTTAGAAAAAAATAAATAAATAAAACATAGTAAACAGAAGAAGAGATATTTAGATGATGTGAAATTTTAGATTTATGAAATGTCTCTAGAATAAGAAAAGCTAGGTGATCGAGAAATTAAAGTAAATTGGAATTTACCCTAGTATGTAGATGCTTATGTGGTTACTCTATAAATCATCACGTGGTTTACCCTTATACAGTTATATGTCACCAAAACCCAATGGAAAAGTTAGAGAAATTTTTCAGTGAAAATTTATTAGTGATCAGGATTTAAACCAGAATATTAATACTCAGCATCTACAAATTTTATAGGATAATACTACTTTTTTGTGGATAAAAATTTACTAGGTTCTCCTTATCGATAAAACTTTCAATGGGTTCTTTCCACCCCCAAAAATTTAAAAAAAAAAATTCAATGGGTTCTTTTCCCCGATTTTCCCAAACCCAATTCACTTCAAGTATTAAACAAAAGTTAAGATTAAATAATGCGATGAATGAACTTCTTTTGATATTTTCACCAAGTCTCAAATTTTTCCATTAATTTTAATATCTATTTTTAAGATACTAACCCTCGTCTTTAATATAAGAGCTAGTTAACTAATTTGAATAGATTAAGAAAACTAGTTAAGTTAATTATTTGTAATAAACATGTGTTGTCTTTATTAAAATATCTTTGCTAATGAAATATACTGATTATTATTATTATTATTATTACTACAATAGCTATCTTAAAAAATAGATAAATATAAGAGAATTGAATTGAGATCTTATATTTATAACTAAAATAAAAATCAAACAAACTCTTATATTAAGGATCGGAAAGTACTGCGTTACAAGACTTTTAATACAGAGGATCCAAACTTATATAAATATATAATAGTTAACATCTTCTAATTTTTCCTTATAATTTTTTTGTGATGTTTAAAATCATACAATTAAAAAAGAGTTAAAAAAAGTTTTATGTGCATTTTTTATAGTAAAAAAGAGTAAAAGACAATTTTATGTACATTTTTATCCTCTTTATATATGAGTGCGCGCGCGCGCGTGCATGTGGAAGTTACTTTGCAAAGAGGCCTTGAAATGTGGCTCAATCACTGAGAAGAATCAGGAGCAGCGGGCAGGGAGGGCTGGGGTTTGATTAGGATGTGAAGCAACTGGATCGCGGTCTACCTCATTGGAGGGGCCCACTTAATTTTTTAAGAAATATATTTTTTTTGGGAAGAAAAATGAAAAAGAAAATAAAAACAAAAATAGAAGAATAACGGCCGGAGAGTGGAAGCTTTCACTGGAAGTTCGTGTGAGGCTTTTCCTTAATAGCAAGACAAAGGAAGGAATAGTTGGGGGAAGGCAGTTAGTTTTAGCAGCAGCTTCCTCAACTGTAGGCCCCACACTGCTGACATGGTTTCATCTCATCCGTCCGATCTCGTGGTGGCGTAGTATCCTCAGTTGAGTACACGTGCTGCTATCCTCTACTTTTTCTTTACCACTCCTCCTCTACCCCTTCGATCCTTCTCTCTCTCTCTCTCTTATCTTTGCTTCCATGCATGGATTTCTCCTCCAAATATAGTCAAGCTTCCAAGTTAGAGAGAGAAACTCACTAGTGAGAGACAGAGAAACAAACGCTCGCTCACTCATCGATCACTCTCATTTCTTTCTTTCGTTCTTTTTCGTCTTTTTTTTTTTGTTATTCTTTTTCTCGTTCGCTTGTTCATCGCCATCATTAGCAACAAAGGTTAACAGACCCTCATCCCCACACCTTCAAGTTCGATTTTTTCCTTTTAAGTTCAACCATTGGAGATGCTAGAGCTAGTTTAGCCTGAGGAATTAGCTTTACTGTACTATCTCTTGATCCTCCTCTTTTCCTCCTTTTCTGTTCTTTAGATCTTGCTTGCTTCCAATCGTCCCGAATTTTAGTGAAATTTTCGAGATTGGTTTGGTCTTTTCTCGCGGAATTCGGGGATTCGCATCGATAATCTGATCTGGGTTTTGCTGATTTTTTCTTCCTGATGTTCTGTTTCGTCGCCATTTGGGTTGTTATCTTGCGTGTGATGGGATCGATGATTTCAGCATTCTTGGATGTTCTTTGATCGGCGTCCAAGTTGGTAACCGTTTTTCTTAGCTGATCTGTGTGCTTTTAATTGTTCATTGAATTAATTGCTGTGAGTCAGATGGAAGAAGAAGGTCGAGGAGTGATGAAACATGTGTGTAAGTTCTGCAGCAAGAGCTTCCCTTGTGGTAGATCTTTAGGAGGTCACATGAGGTCACACATCACCAATGTTTCAGCTGAAGCAGAGGAGAAACTCGCGACGACGAAGAAGATTCAATCTGTCATCAATGACGGAGCTGGAAGCAGTAAGGTTGGAGAGTACGATCTCAGAGAGAATCCCAAAAAGACTTGGAGATTCGCTGATTCAAGAAGCGGGGAAGCACCACTAGTCACTGAGGACAAATTCTGCAAAGAGTGTGGTAAAGCGTTTCCCTCTTGGAAAGCTCTTTTTGGTCACATGAAATGCCATTCTGAGAAAGCTTCCATTAACAACAATAACAACTTGGAGAATCAAGCTTCTGCTAGCCAGAAAGTCGTCACAGACAGCCAATCAGACAACGAAGGCACTGGCAATCCGCACCGAAGAAGAAGATCCAAGAGAAGAACGAGGTTCGTGACCACTGCTTCCACTTCGTCTCTGTCTTTTGCAAATCCTTCGTCCTCTGTTTCTGAGGCTGAACAAGAGCAAGAAGAGGTTGCTATGAGCTTGATGATGCTAAGTAGGGACGTGGGTCATTGGGGTGGTTTGAATTCTGTTGTTGAGTCCTCTGATAACAATTCTGCATATTTCGAAGCTCGGTCTTATGTGGTTCGAACTAATCTCAGTAGCAAAATTGAAGCGGGCAAAGTAAAACTGACTATTGGCAGTAACTCTGAATCTGCGAACTTGAACTCGAAAGGGAAGAAACCAGAGAGTTTAGCAACTGGGTCTGCGTTGAATGGGTTCAAAGCGATCAAAGCAACAGTTTCCATTAATGGGTTGGTCAAGAATTGTAAAGAAAAGAAGCATGAGCTTGATAACCAGTCGACATTGGAGGATTCTGAAGACGAACTGTGGAAGAGCGAGGTCAATGGAACAGAACTAGATTCAGCAGTAAAGAGGAGGTTCTCAGATTCTGAGATGAAGTCAAATTGCAAGAAAGGGAAGTTCAAGTGTACTACTTGCAACAAGATCTTCCCTTCGTACCAAGCTCTGGGGGGCCACAGATCTAGTCATAAGAAGCTGAAAGGCTGCTCTGCTTCAAGAAACGAGAGCAGCGAAAACAGCATAGAAACAGACCTCAACAATGGGTATGTCATCGAAAAGCAAGAACTTATTGGCTCTGTTAATTTTGAGAATGAGGAAGAGATAATTACAGAACCCAAGAAGAACAAAGTACACGAGTGTCCAATTTGCCTCAAGGTTTTTCCATCCGGCCAAGCTTTGGGTGGTCACAAAAGATCTCATTTCGCAGCTGAAGGGTCACTAGTACTTGAGAAACCAGTTCAGGAAATCAGAGACTTTCTTGATCTTAATCTTCCAGCTTCTGCAGAAGAAGAAAGCAACAGTCAAGTGGAGAATTACCCCCCATGGTGGGTGGTACAAGGCCATCATCATCATCACCACCCCAAGCAAGAAGCACTGGTTGGCCTCCTATCTAACTGATGATAAAGTCATTTCAGATTCCCAAAAGCTGTATAGAACAAGTTCCTGCATTTATTTCATTAATTCTTTCGAGGTACTTCTTCTCATCCGATATTTTTCATCATCAGTCAGTTCATAAAAGGACGATGAACCCGCAGTTTTTTTCACTTTGCCGATTTTTTTTTTTTTGGTTGGTAATGGAATTACTATGATATCCTGTGCTGTGTCCATGGAATAAGTCTCATTGGAACAGACTGAGCATTATACATTTCTGTCTTCACATGTACCTTTTTCCCCCCCTATCTGTATGAAATTCCAAAAGTGACATGGTTGAGAGGTAATTATATTTTCTTGGCATCAAAGAGAAATGAATGAGGTGTTGAAAAAAAAACTGGGGTATGAGATTTGTAGATAAAAAAAGGTAGATATTTCATATAATATATATACACATAAAGGAGGCATGTGAACCAGCTAAAGGTGGTTGTTTAGTCACCTACCATATAAACCTGACCACCCATCTCATCTCTTTCACTTGGCACCCAAGTGGTGTGTTATTAAATCCTTCTCGCTGATCACTATGTGCTCTTAATAGTAATTATCGTAATTATTATGTCAAGACACTTGGACACGTGGCTGCTCTGGACCACTGGTATGCATACATATGAAACTCCCAGTCTAATCGCATACTGGACGCAAAGTGATTCTTTCTTGCTAAAAACTTCGCAAATGAATAAATGTGACTCTTTTTTCTAAATTAAAAATATTGGAATATACCATAAAGCATAGTGGGTTTTGGGGTAAACGGAAATTGGGGTGCAAAAATTTGTGATTTAATTGGATTGGTTGTCTATTTGTTGGTGGGTTGTATCTTCGGTTTCCCACTTTCAAGATGATTAGAAATGCAAATGCCCAATTTGAATTCCGACATAAATTAGCAGAAAATTATGGTCACGTTTAATTACAGGATAATTAATGGCAATAATGGGTGTTTGGCATACCATCAAAGAATCACTTTTAGTTTCATGGGATGAAATTCACAAAATCACTTAAAATAAACGCTTAGTAGTACTTAGTTTTTTGGGGGGAAAAGGAAGAGAAGAAATCGGCTTTAGGAGATGCGGCTGTGCTGCCTTGTCAACTAGTTCAAGCAACTAACTGCTGAGAAAGCTCTCCAACTTCGCACGTCCGAGGATATTTTGGTCATTCAATGCTCCATCCCACTTTTTCTAAAATTTTATGGTTTTTTTTTTTCAAAAAAAAAATCGCATTCTTTGAATTAATTCCAAATCCATTCATATTTTTAAAAGTATTTTTTGGCACATGGGAAACATATATTTTTAGGTCGATGAAACATGTTTTTAATTCTAACATGTTTTAATTGAAAATTAAAACTAAACTAAAGTTTTAGACTTTAAGTTAAAACTAGGGAAAAAATTTCAGAGTTAAAAAAATTAATTTAGATGAAAAACAAATTTTTATATAATAAATAGATTATAATAGAATAATATATAACAATTATTATACGAAATTATCTTTATTGTTCTGTTTATTATATTTTGTTTGGATTTCTTCAGATTGGTTCTGCGTTTGGATTTATGTGTGTGTACTGTCCTTTCCCCTTTAATTCACAAGCCGAGATAAAACATGGCATATATCAAATTAATTTTTTAAAACGAATTTCTCTATCAGTTTTAAATAAATTATTATCAACAACAACAACAACAATAATATAGGCCTCCTTGGATGCTTGAAGGATAACAATAATAACGAAGTTTGGAAAATGACGGTTCCCCTCCGTGGTCGTCAATCATGACTGTGTTTTTAATTTTATTTTTCTGGCACAACCTTAGAGTAAGACACGTTTAAGGATCAATAATTGAAATTAAAGGCTAAAAACCACAATTGGTCAGCTAAATTATTGAGTCAATGCCTTTGGTTTATTCTTTTTATATCTCATTGCAGCATAATTATAATCAGTATATACAAACACATGTATATGATTTAAACTAGGCGAACTCTAGCTTTTCTATTCACTTATCGTTTGACAATTTTATTGTCACCTATATATAGTTCAAAAATATTTAAACTATCTACAAGGGAAAAAAAAACTTTTAAACTATCTGCCACATTAGATTATGGTCCTCGTTTTATATTTTTGGTACATTTATCGTGTAATTAATAAATAATTTTGTGAGCAATTGATCAGGATGTGATCCTTGTTCTTTGGATTGGCCGTGGGGCTAATAGCTTATTATTATAATGTAGGAGTATAATAAAAAAAAAATTATTAGTTTAGCTATTAGATTTTTATGGTTATTATTATTATTCTGTTGGATTATATTATTAGAGGATAATTACACTACTTTAAGTTTTTTTGGGCTGGCAAAAACCATGTTTTTGGTGCGCATACGGCTGAAGGCCCATTCTCCACTCCGCAGCTCAAAAGTCTGCATCATCACCACTGTATCTCCCAAATCCAGTTGGAAAACCCTTCCTCAAGATCAGCAATTTATTTCTTATTTTATTTAATTAGTAGAATATAATCTGTCCAGTGTACTTGAAAAATCTAAAGTAATTTAAACAAGCGGCAATATTTTATTAAGGCTCTAAATTAAAATTCTTTTTACATGATAATAACTTCTTCCTTTTTTTGGCCAAAAACATGATAATAACTTCTAAGTTTAACTTATTGATACTTTTGGCATTTTGGCGGGAAAAAAATACAAATTAATTTCATTTTGATTGTTTTGGATGTTATGCAAATATTACCTGGCAACACTTCTTCAATAGACATAATAAATAAAAATTCTTAAAAATTCCATTTCTAAAAATTCTATTGATAATTTCCTTTGGGGCTGCCGGCTTGGAAAGATTGGCCTGAGACGGACTCAGAATCAGAATGGTTTCCTGATTGTTGTCATAATGAAGCTGTCAAACATGACAGTATCAAACGACCCTTGTTCATCTTCACCTTCTACTTTATATATCCATCTCGGCAATACACATGAAAAAGTGATTCTCGTAATTATTTGTGCTTAATATAAAATCTAATTCTTGAGTTAGTTTTAGTTCTAAATATAAAACTCATTTTTTATATTTATCAATTTTCTCTAAATTATCCCTATGGATACTCTTTCAACCATAATCAAATAAAAGAGGGAGAGGAGGTATTAAGAAAAATGATTATGGTGTTTTAAGAAAAATGTGTCACTTTTTTTATAATTAACTAACTCATCTAACTTCCTTAATCTAATCATATTAGTTAAATGAGTCTTATATTAAGGATTGGAAGAGTAACTATTTAAACATTTTAATATTTAAAATCACTTTTTTTTTCTTCAAAATCTATTATCCTCAAATTTTTTTTGTTAAGTTCAAGGTATTCAGGAGCTTTAGTGCTGCTGTGACACAAGACCCTCCTCACGTACTGTCAAAGATGGAACTCCTCACTGAATGTCTAAAAAATTAAATTAAGTGATGATTATATTTGTGGTTAAAATTTATTTTTCTAACTATTTTTGTTAATGCATGCTTGTCACTAAGCTGTAAAATAGAGGTAGGGTTAGAGAGTGTTTGGTTGAATAAAGGAGAAGCTAAAATCATAAACAAAAATACAAGCTCTTCCAATCAAATTCTCATTAGGAGTGGCAGCTAGCTTAAAACCTACGTTTCAGTTGGCCGGAGTACAAATGAGGCGGTGAATAATGCCTGAATTTCTCAGTTTCTCATAACTAATAAATCACTGCTTCTGCTATTAAATATAAAAGTTAGTTAACTAATTTGAGTAGATTAAAAAAATAAATAAAATTGGTCATTTATAATAAATATATAATGTTTTTTTTAAATATCTTTAACAATAAAATTTATTGGTTAGAACTGTTATTATTATAATGACTATATTAATAAATAAATATAAAAAATAAAATAAATTAAAATAAAAATTAAATGAAATTTTATATCACAGACCCGTTAAGAAGCGGAGGCAGTATATAGCTACTCGCGCCCAATGACTGGGAGTTCAACTTCACTGATTTCTGCGTGCGTGTATGTGTAGATAGACAGATGGCTCGGCCGTGATCTGTCTCCTTCATGAACGGCTGAATGCCATAGAGGCTCTGCTTCATCACTACGACGCTCGGACGCAGTTTAGAGAAACCTCGCTCTCGCTCTTGCTTGATTCATATACAATCGTCTAAATGCACCCTCCGCCGTATTCTCCCCTCTTCCCTCAGCAGCCCAATCATTCGGAATCGTTATTCTCGCCGTTTCCCTTCGTGCATTCGGATTCGCCTCTTCATTCTCATGGATCCGACCCGCTAGGACGTTCGGCCTCATACGCGTTGTTTCGTTCTTCTTATGGGCGCCAATCAATTAGTTCCCCGGACACGAACGCTGATACTCAGAACTGGATCGTCAAGCAAGTTCGCTCCATGAGATACGAAGCTGTAAGTTGAAACTCTCACACGCTTCACACAGAGCAAAATTTCTTCCATTTTGTTATTGTTATTATCACTGGAAGAAGTTGAATCCGAAAAACAGTTTTAACTTGTGAAAGAGTGGCTATTTTGCAAAGAGCTTTTTTTTTCCTTTTTTCCAATGAAAAGTTTGGCTGAACGGTTCCGTACTTTAGTTTAGTTGAAATGTAGACTCTTTCACGGGATGCTTGTTGGTGGGCTTGTGGTTTTTATGGTTAAGATGGAATGCAGAATTCCTTATCATCAGTTTCTCCTGTCAAGTTTCTCAGGTCGGCCTCGCCCTGGGTTTCGTCAAAAAATTTTTAAGAGGAGTTTCGTTTTTGACTTTGCAAATAGATTGAAAATTTCTTTCGAGCCAATTTTATTTGGTGTTTCTTTTTCTTAAATACCCACTGGCTTCCGAATCCGCATTGCATAGACTAATCTGGTATTTTTCTTGTTTTACTTATGTTGTAGATGCCTTCTTTTTTTCGTCAATATGTCTTTTCTGTCGAGTAAAGGGGAGAAAAAAATTATTGAGTGGTGTAGTTTGGTAGATTTGACCTTTTCTTATTCCTTTTATCAATTTGATGAGCAGTTTCAGATTTAATCTGTTTTCTTGGATTACAACTCTTGTGATTTACAGGCTGCCAGAGCTTCTCATGGGACTTCGGCTGTGTCGGCAAGTTTTTCTTCTGCGTGGAATGACATCTGGGTGCGTCAACTTTTGCCTAGTCTTACCCCAGTAACGTTGCCTATGCCAAACCAAACCAAAGCTAATGAACCAATGCAATGTGAGGTTTGCAAAATTGATTGCACAAACAAAGATGTTTTTGAAAAGCACGTAACAGAAGAGAAGCACAGGAAGAATATGCAATTGCTAAATAGCCCCACCAATACAGTGATACCAGGAGCCTCTCATGCAAGTTTACAAAGTCAAATAAATAGGGTCCAAGGACAAGATTCAATTGGTGTGGTGGGCAAAGAGTTAGAGTCTAAGAAACAGAAGCTTGTGAGTGGCGGTGCAGCAGTTGATTCAGTAAGGGTTTGCACGATGTGTAACGTCGCCTGCAATAGTGAAGATGTATATAACAAACACCTATCCGGGAAAAAGCATGCTGCTCAGGTGAATTTTTGCTTTAATAATTCTTTTTACTCTTGATATTCGTTTTACTAGTAAGTGTTGGCTGCTGGGAACAGTGAAGTCTAGTTATAAACACTGTTTCATAATTAGCCGTTTGTTGAGTGTCTTATTCTTATTGTGAAAAGTTTCAGCTCATCTCCACTGATCTCTTTGTTTTTTTATTTTCCAAATGACTAGTATCTTTAACCCATGCCCATCAATCTTGACTCACTTGTACGTGTTCTCACATTGGCTGGCCAAACTCCAAACGTTCTTTTCATCTGGAGCTAATAACTCATAATTAGTTCCATATGGTGAAACTGTTGCGATTCTTTGCTCAATATTGAATTATTGATACTCCAATTTAGTTAGCAGGTGTTAAAAGCCCCTTAATGGGAGCAACCATGATCTGAAATGGTCATACATGATAGGGTGAAATACTTCTGCTGGTAATTTAGTTGAATTAAGTAATGCTTGTGTAGAGTGGTTGGCTATAATTGTAATATATTTTTTTCAACTCCTTTGAGAACCTTAGCATTGCTATCTACAACCATCAGATAATTTGAATTAGATGTTTGCAGCCTTGCTTGGTTTCTGTTTCAATTGCTCAATTACGTTTACTCCAAATACCGCACCTCATTTTGTTCTGTTGCATCCCTTACTGGATTTTCATTTGGCTTGCTATGTAGAAATGCAACAAAACTGTTATGGTTTATAAGAACCACTAGACCATTTCTACATTAACCGAGAACTTTTGTTCACTTTGCAGATTAGCTTGATGTCTGATAATGGTATTGGTTCTTATCTTGCCGCGTTTAAGCATCTTGGCATTGGTCCTTGGAAAAAAGGCCCAAAGAAAATTTCTACCCAACCTGCATGGTGCGAACTTTGCAAGATCAGTTGCAACAGCAGGGATGTATATATGACACACTTAGCTGGGAGGAAACACCTGAGGAACCTGGGGTTGCTCTCAAAATCAAATAATGCTTTGCAGCGTGCAACCAATCCTGTTGTTAGGCCCCAGGAAAGGCCAAACACTTGTGAAGATGAAGGGATAAATTCACATAAGCCAAATAAAGCAGCCATGGTTGAGGATATTGAGGCAAAGAAACGTAAACTTATAAAAGGTGGGGCAGCAGAAACTGATATTAGAATATGCACTCTATGTAATGTGGTGTGCAACAGCCAAACGGTGTTCAATTTTCACCTTGCTGGGCAGAAGCATGCTGTAATGGTGAAGCTGATGATGCAGAAGCAGCCAGGGTCAAATTATATATATTCATAGCCAAGAGAGCTAGGGACAGAAACGTTTGGAGTTTGGAAGAATGACCATGATCCTATGAGGTTTCAGGCAAGAAAAATAATCACTCAAATGTCCCACAACAAATGTGCAATACGCAATGATAAGTTTTGGTACACAAAATAACAATGATTTATAATTTTACATTACTTGTTGTAAGATTTTTTAGTGATTATATTTCTTTCTTATAGTGATTTTCCCTACATTATTTTCAGCACTGGCAGAATAAGATGACTTGGCTGTTGACTGTGATTAGAAGCAAGTCCTACGCGGGAAAAGGCAAGGCTTACGCTGCAGATGGATGGGAATGGAAATGCCTCTTTGTGATCTCATTGTCATTTCTACCACATGGGAAATTGGGGATACTGACCTTACAAAAGCCTTTATTTATTTTATGCAAAAAGTCAACGGTGCAGTTTAGCGCCGTTGGATCTTTCACGGATAATGTGACAAAAAGAAATTGTACTTTTCGAAATTTTGGACAATTAGTTGCATTGTCAAATTTTTGTTATCATTTTCGACTTCTCGTATTAAGCTACATGTTTATTATGTTTTTTTACACTCAATATTTTAAGGATAATAATAAAGATATAAAAATTATATATAATTTATTATCTATTAATGCAGAAGTATATTTATCTCTCATGTACTATGGTACATGTTAATATTTTTAAATTTAATTAACTTGAACGCGCTTTTAAATGAAAAATTAAATTATGATAATTTAAACATAGGATAAAATTAAACGGCAATGACTTTCAATTTAAACAATTTTTGAATTATTCGAAGGACTTTTTAACTTAATAATTTTTTTTTGCCAGAATAAAAATGAATAATTGATTTTTTTGCATAATTAATTGGATGCCTTAGATAGTGTTTAAATTATATTTCTCCTATCCTTCAGACCTATTTTATAGTACAAATTGAATTATAAAATAAGTCTTAGATTTATGATAGAAGGATTTTAAACTTTAGTTCTAAATAAAAGTGATAAATCAATTAGATGTGAACAGAAATATGAATTTTTTTTTTGTTACAAGGAGGCGGGATCGAACCCGCAACGCACACTCCTCACACACACCACTCGGCCAAGTGGAAAAACATGAATTTATTAGAATGAAATTATGGATCATTCTAAAAAAAAAAGTGGATGAAATCCATTTAATGCTTCACTCTTGGACATCCGGGCCCAAATAATTAGCCTTTTAAACAAGCCCAATCCGAAGATAATAAGCACCTGCCACCTAGCATCGCTTGTTCCTTCCTTTTCTTCCCATTTTCCATGCCAGCTCAAATAGAATGTCTTCGAACCTTGCCATGGGGGCTGCATTTTAAATTTTGAATCATTGTAATGGGAATATTGGACTAACCTTCGTATTTGCTTAATTTTTCTCCCAAGACGAATTATCTAATTCAGGTAACTAGCTCAGATTCCTACCGTTTCTGTTTCATGTCGATATATTAATGTATTCGGTGCTGATGAATGAGTTCGGAGTCGGTTTTTCTGAGGATTGAATCTTTAGGCGTACTTCCCAATTATATATCTACCAAATCCCCGTCAAGGGTTTTACTAAGTTCTTTCGTATGGGGCGATGAACATGAAAAACTAGTATTTGTTTAATCATGGGTCAAGCTCGCATTCTATCATTTTCTCCCTTATGTTATGTTTTCACCTGGAGAAAGTAGCTGAGGTAGTTAAGATTAGGTACTTTTAAGAAATTTGAAAATCAACTTCATTACTTGCAGAATCATGTTATGAATTTTTTTGTCTTCAGTTGCTAATCCATTTGACTGTTATATATCTTTAATCTTGGAAAAACTGTTGCGCGTTAGCTGTTGGTTGGTGTTTGTTCTTTCGTATGTACCACTACTGCCAAATTTAACGCGACTTATCTGTTAATAAACACCCATCATGTACTCCTCCCTAAGGCACTTGCGTCAGATTGCTTGCAGAAATGTCAAATAATTTCAGAAGTGACACCGATACTTCTTTTAACGCGGAGGAACTCTTGAAAATTAAAACAAGATGTAGAGAGGTACCGTTTCTACCCCTTTCAGCTTCTTGCTACGCGGAATCAAATCATGTACCCTATTAGGAATGTGAAGTCACATAAGACTGGATGACTTTCATTCTGTGCTCGAGAGAACAGAACTCCTTACATGGGTTACTGATATTTAATCAAACTGGTTCGTCATACATATATATATATATATATATATATATATATATTTGTTGACTGCTTTAACAAACTTTAATTGTGTGTCCTAAAAGAACAGAGCCCTTTTCCATGCTGTATGTAATTTATATATCATTTGAACTTTTTACTGATGTGGATTCTGTTTGACATGCAGCTTAGAAAAGAGAAGGACATGATAAATTGTTCACAATCCCAAATTTTTGAGCTACTCCGGGTACGTCACACCAGATTGAGTTCAAGCTATTATATTACATTATGTTTTATCAGGCATTTTACATATTTTTGTAGGGAGAGTGGGAATGTAACATTATGATCTGATACTAGTCTGATTTTTGCCATTGATGCAGATAATAGAACTACATGAGAAGTCATTATTAGAGACTAGCATAAAAGATAAGACACACATACAGAGGTTGGAAGAAGAGCTATTGAACTGCTCTCAGGAAATAGGTAGTTTGTCATGTTTCTTAGCTTTAGATGCTCTTTGAATGGGTTCTTTCTATGAAAGTAATTAAAGCTCTTTCAGATTATTGATAGATGGAAAGTAGTCCATGTTGTCAATTCTGTTTTATTTATATGCATATAAGTTGCAAGTCTTTACTCTCTCTCATAAGTGAACCTTTTGTGCAACAGATGATTGCCGTCCAATAACATATTATTTTTTTCGTTCTTTTTGGCCAGCAAATTAAGTTGTAATAATCATCGATTTTCAATGAATTTGATTTATCTAGTAGGTTTTTTTGTGTGGAGGTTTTTACTCATTGGCTTTATTTGATCATACTCGATACAGATTACCTTAAGGATCAGCTTAATGGAAGGAACATGGAGGTCAAATACCTGCAAGAGCTTGTTTACAGCTTTAAACTGAAAATAAAGGATATGGAAGGCTTACAAGATGAGGTTATCAGGTTAAAAGAGGAGCTGCAGAGATCCAGTTCTGAACAATTTTTCTTGTTGAAGGAATTAGTGACTAAAGAAATGGAATTGGAGAAGTCAACACTGTCCGTAGAGAAATTGAAGGAATCAATTTCATCCATGGCATTAGAGTCTGAATGTGAGGTAGAGTGCATGAAACTTGACATGATGGCCTTGGAGCAGAGTCACTTTGAGGCTAAGAAAATACAGGAGGAAACTCTGGAGGAAAACACTAGAATGAGTAGATTGATTGGAGAGCTTCAATTTAAATTTCAGGAAGCCCAAAAAAATATTGTCTCTCTGAATGAGGAAAATAAGAAACTTAACAATAAGATTGATGCTGTCAATGTGAACACCGGAAATTTTTCTCAGAAGGTTGAAGAGTGGCTAGAAAAGAAGGACAGATCACAACTCAATGGTCAGTCTTCCTTGAGCGAACAAGAGAAGGGTTCAGACATATCAAAGGATATAAGGTATACAATGGAAGATGTTTGGTTTTTCAACTAATCTGCATGTAACAAGTGTCCTGTTAAGTATGCTATCATAATTGTGTTATAATGGAAGGACAATGGTTTTCCTCTATGGTGGTGAGCTTGTGACTCTGGCAGTTTTGCTTGATCTTTTATTTGATAGTTTCAGAATGAAATTGCCAATTTCTCTTCTTCAAGGGCATAAAATCAAATCGGGCGTCTCTTTCTACTTTCTTCTTCTTTCTTGCTAATGAATGTTCTCCCTTAAAAGAAGCACTGATTAGTAATATTTCAGAGCCACAGTGTCTTTACTTTTGTCATTAAGTGGATGCCTGATATTGTAAGCATTGAACTTATTACACTTTACTTAATTGCTCCTTTTACTCTTGTGAGATTGTATGTTTAAATGTCGGGATATAGATGATGGATTCTGAAAATTGAAGAAGTGCCTTGGTTTATTTGTAATTTTATTAGCCAAATAATGTTCCAGTTGGGTCCTAATTCCTATATATATGGTCTTCAATCATTTAATCTCAACTGTTGAATGTAATATTCCATAAACGGCAAGCATACCAGGAAATATTCAACATGTCAATTTGGACACTAGTGTACAATTCCCGTGAGGAAATTTTTTGTCATGTGATCTTCTTTGGCTGGCAGTTACTGATAATTTAGGTTCATAATTGAATTGTTTCCTTTAAATTATTTTAATTTGAACTTACTGAATTGAAGCATTCTTTCGCAAAATTTATGACAATATTTTCATGTATTTCCCAAGTGTTTATGGAGAAGTATTGGGTCCACTCCTTGGGAGGCTATCTTTGGCGTTGGAAACAGATGCAGATATTAAAGAGGAGATGCAGAAGATGTCACATCAGATGCAAAAGTATAAAACACTTGTGGAGAAACTTAAGGTGTGTACATTTATTGAAGCATAAAACATTGAAATGGTTGGCGTCTATTCCTGAAATACAAAAGTGAAAATACAGTGTACCTTTTTAATTGCGCAATTTGATCTACTCAAGTTTATTTAGAGCCTGGACATGTATATAGTGATTTCAAACTTTTTACTAGGAAGAATTAAGAGAAGAAAAGTTGAAGGCCAAAGAAGAAGCAGAGGACCTTGCTCAAGAAATGGCAGAGCTTAGATATCAAGTTACAGGTTTGTTAGAAGAAGAACGTAAGCATCGTGCTCGCATTGAACAGGCATCCTTGCAAAGAATTGCCGAGTTAGAAGCACAGGTATAATTGTAAACTCATGACCTCCTATCTCTCGTCTATCAGAAACTAATCCAAGAAAATGCGTGACTTTCGTCCTTTCTTCTTTGCAATCAAGCTTCAAAGAGAACAGAGAAAATCTTTATTTGCTGTCCGCGGTCTCCCTGAAGTGTAGAAACTGGAATTATTCAAAGTTTTTCAAGTTCATCAGAAGAGACTCATCTTAGAGGTTTGTGCCTAGTTATATATTTGGAGCCCTTTTAATCCTTTCACGCGGTCTGTTTATGAATTGTTATTCTTTCTCAATGATGTATTGTTATTGTGCTGATTGTAATTGCCTTGCATAATATACTGCTGATAAAATTACTATATCGTGGACAGATGTACTGAAAGATGTAGGATGTCTTCTCATGTCTTGGTTCCTGGAGAAGAGAAATGAAGTGGCTGTACAGAAGAACTAGCTCGTGCGTGTCACAGTGTATTTTGTGATATGGGGTGCAAGAATTGATATAAACACATTGAATTTTTGTACAGATGCCTGCGATCTCTCTCTCTCTCTCTCTTCTTTCTTGCAATAGTCTTGATCAGGGTGGGAATGTCTGTTATGAAGGATTGACTTCTAGGTCAATTCTGTCATTTGAAATTTTGCTATTTTTTTATATTGGGCGTGAGCAACCTAGTATTGTGATGTTTTCAGTACGCCCTAGACGAATCGTAGGTCATGGCTTGAGCATAACAGTTGCTCTTGTAATTGTAAATTCATCTATTTATGTTTGGGTATGAAGATTTTTAGTATTTTAAAGCCTAAATTTTAAGTTCAAATTTCCCGTCACTTATTCGCACCTCCATATTTGGGTGTGTGGATAACTCCGTATGCACTCATGTACGTATTCTCGAGTGATTGGTATATTGAATTTTGCATATATTTATGTCAATATGTTATGATTAGATATTTTTGGTATTATACATCATTTCAAAAATCCTCATGCATTTTATGATTTGCAAATAGTATAATTTGAGGTTGGCAAAAAAACGTAAATGATATAATTTCAGATAAAATTTTTCTTTTTTATTTTTTTTATAAAAGGACGAATTTTATTATAAATTTATATTAATATATTAGTGGCAAGGCTCCATTTTAATCATAAAATCATTGTTGAATTCGGCAACATCTTTGAGAGGCATATGTAATGTGTGTGTGTATTCAATCATTCACCGATTTAAAATAGTAACTGGCCAAAAAAATAATGTAAATGGCATTAGGAAGTCAATGGCTGCGGCATGTTCTTTAATGGCTCGGAATTCTCTTTTGAAGGGCAAGATATAAAAACAAAATAAAACTAGAAATTTCCTCATACGTCACACGGATGTTTCCAAAATCTACTTTAAACAAATTTGGTGCTGTCAATCCAACGAAATAGGATAAATGAAAAAAATATACTCCTCCGGTCCTTAATATAGGACCCAATTGGTGAGTTGGTTTTGGTCTTAAAGATAAGATCTATTTCTCATATTTATCAATTATCTCTAATTTCCCTTATGGATACCCTTTCAACCATAATCAAGTAGAAGAGAAAGATGAAGTATTAAGAAATATGATTATGGTATTTTAGAAAAAACGCATCATATTTTTTATAATTAACCAACTTACCTAACTTCCTTAATCTAATCAAATTAGTTAAATGGGTCTTATATTAAGGATCGGAGGAGTATATTAATTCTTCCAAGGAGTTGACAAAGTCATACGGTTTTCGGTCTGAATCAAATGACTTCCAACATGGCCCATCCTAACAATTAAAAGAAGAAAAAAAATCATAAATGGCGTCCACGCTTGATTTATTCAAAACTCAAAAATGAAATCTAAACAACGCCAACGACGAATTCTGAGAGCGAATGTGATGTGTGGCCCCCAGTCCCAAAAACACCCGCCGTGATTACCTAAGCTGCTTGGGGTCCTTCTCGAGTGCTTACGCAAAATATATATATATATATATATATATATATAAAAATATATTGTGTACTCGCTCCACCCATCCTGGCTTCGTTGCAGTTTCCTACCCTCCCTCTTTTCTTGACGCGATTTTGCAAGGTTTCTACATTTGCCGGTTCTTTCAGTTGAAATAGTCCCTTTCCTCCTCCCATTTCTTGTTCTCCCTCTTGGGACTCGAAGGCTTTAAAATTGTTGGGTATTCACTTCTCCTCTCGTAGTTCTCTCGGTTTTTTCTTTCTGCACATTCGTTGGGTTTCTCCAGGTACTCATCTACTTTCTCTTCAACAATCATTGATTTCTGAGTGTTCTGTTACAGTATAAAGCCCATAAATTGTAGGACTCCTGATGGTTTTTATGATCACCTAATGGTCAACGTTGCTTCCTCTCTATCTCTGTTGATTGGAATTTGAAGCTATTATTGAGGCTTTTATGATTCTTTTCGTTATCCAAAGATTTTTCTTCTTTCATTCTCTGACGAGCTAAACAGACCGAATAGGTTGTCGATTCCGTTGTCAGTTTATATAAGTTTTAACGCCTCTTTCTTGTCGTCGGCTTTGAGATTGTTGTTAATGAATTCTTCGTATAATTCATGAATCCGTTAATCTTCGATATTTTAGTTCGTCGTCTTTTGACTTCCGTCTTAAGTAATTTTATTGAACGTACCCTTAGTTGATAAAGGATTGATAAAGGTTGGGTTTCTTTTATCCTAAGAAGACTAACTGATTCGTAATCAGTGCCTTGATAGTATGGTATTTGCCTATTTGTCTACAATGACAGTGCATGAACAGTTCTTGCTTATTTTTGCAGGGAGAAATTGTTCTGCGTTCACCTTACTTAGGACACCGTTGTTTCTTGTTAAATTGATTTACCCCCTCACCTTGCTCTTCCTCTAACCAAATTCTGCAGAGTGTTCTTGCTTACTGCTTAGTGGTGACTTCGAGAGAATGTTTGGTTCTAAGAAATCTCCCTTGAAGTTCTCAAAACACAATTCTGTTGATCCTGTCTATCCTGTCCAATCAAAGTCAAACCCGTTTGATTCTGCTGATTTGGCAAAGGACGGCAAAAATTATAATTCCTCTAGGAGGAGTTCTTCAGATCCTACCCTAGTAACAACAGAGGTCAAGACCAACCCTTTTGATGATTATGATGTAAATGGGAACTCTTCATTATCTTCCTATGCCCCTCGATCAGCAGACCGAAACAAGTATAAGAATGATTTTCGTGACTCAGGAGGAATAGAAAATCAGTCAGTGCAAGAATTGGAGAATTATGCTTTTTACAAGGCTGAGGAGACGACAAAATCAGTTAACAATTGTTTGAAGATAGCAGAGGATATGAGAGAGGATGCTACCAAGACTTTAGTCACCCTGCATCAACAAGGAGAGCAGATTACCAGGACTCACCATGTTGCCGTCGATATTGATCAGGATCTTAGTCGGGTACCAATCTGGTTTTAAAGAGTTATTTAATGCATGCGTCAGTGTTCCTATATTGAGCGGCTTCTTGGTGTCCGTTTACCTAGACTATTGCTTCTTGTGCTATACAGCCTGCTGTAAAGTAACATTCTAATGATATTCTGGACTAAACTACTTGAATGTCTTTTACAGGGAGAAAAGCTCTTGGGAAGCCTTGGTGGCATGTTTTCCAAAACTTGGAAACCAAAGAAGACACGCAACATAACTGGCCCTGTTATATTTGGAGGTTTTATTCTTTTTCCCCTCCACTTCCTTTATATGTATGTACGTGTATGTAACATATGCATGATATACTTCATAACACAGATGATCCAGTACGAAGAAAGGGCAGCCACTTGGAGCAGAGGGAGAAGTTGGGATTGGGTTCTGCACCAAGAGGGCAGTCAAAGTCCCGGACACCACCTCCTGAACCGACAGATGCCCTTCAAAAAGTTGAGGTTTGTATCATTCAGTGAACATTAACATCTTGTCTAAAGCTAGCTGAGCGTGACGAAACTCAATTATCTTAAGGGCTCTTGATATGTTATAAATCTCTGTTGCAAAAATATGGGATTGGTGGATTCTTACTATAGCTTTTAGTTGCACTGGCCGATGACTCGTCCAGATAAGCATTCTTTATTAGCAACTACCGCTATTCTGGCAATTTTGTTCATCTTACTCTGATTAACCCCATCAGTAGGTAGTCTCTGTATGTCCAACTTGGATAATGCCACTTCCATTTGTTATTTTCATCTTCTGTGATGATGTAAGGTTCCATAATTGGCTAATAAATAAATGTCCCTAAACAGTTTGAGAAGGGGAAGCAAGATGATGCATTGTCAAATTTAAGTGATATCTTGGGAGAGCTGAAAGACATGGCTACTGACATGGGATCCGAAATGGATAGGTTAGTTAAATATTCGTTTATTCTCCTATCTAATTTCACCTTCCAGTTGTTCTTGAGCACTAGAAGAAAATCTTTTGCCCAATCCTTGCGAAAATAAGCAACATTTTAAGCAACACTTCCGAAAATTCCCAACAAAACAACTTTTAACGTGACTTATCTATTGGTAATGTTGGTGCTGTTGCAGGCAAAACAAGGCCATTGATCATATGTACAATGATGTGGATGAGTTGAATTTCCGCGTGAAAGGTGCTAACCAACGTGGCCGTCGTTTGCTTGGAAAATAGGGGGCAGAGTTTTCATATTCATTTCCAGCTTCTCCTATTGCCTTATACTGATCCTTTACTTTTCGCTGTTGTATTTTTCTTTTACTTTTTTGGGATCAATAAAACAAATTCTTCAATACATATGATTTTGGTTTGCACAATTTTAAATGTGCAACGTATTAAACTTCACCTGCCTGTTTCCGGGATTTATGACTAGTCTTCCCAACTTCCCCATATAGAAGGCTCATCTATCCTCCAGCTATATTCTCTTCTAAGACAATGATTGATTGAATCTAAACTCTAAAAATGCGATACTCCGAACTATAATTCCCTGATCTGGAAAAAAATTTGCGTCAATGAAATCATGCAATACCAACCTTCTATAGGAGCAGGTCAAGAAACTGAAAGATGCGTTGATTGGAAAACCCAGGCATTCCTTCTAAAAGCTACGAGAATTTCAATATACAAATATTCAATTTTCTTGGCTCCTCATAGGCTTATAATTGAGGGGATAACCCAAAGTTTTATGTTTACTGTTAAGCCTCTAATACAACCCTCCTACACAAATACTGGTATCTTACGTCAAAACAACCATCCGATAAGAACAGGTCTATATATTACGATCATCCGTAAAAAGCATACATTGATAAGCCTCTCTCAATCAATCACAAACATGGTCAATATCAAGAACTGGTCTACATGTTACGATTATAAATAAAGTTTATACATTAATAAGCCTCTCTCAGTCCGAAACCTGTAACTGGCAATAAGATGGGGATAAGTTAATAGCCCGAAACCTAACATGTGAGCTCGGAATTCGTCTCCATAATGCTCCTGACACTTGGGGCGTAGAGCGAGTGGACGATCGCTTGCCTTCTGGCGATTTCCAGTTGAGCCTTGCCATCGGATAACGCCGAAGCGATGGAAGAAGGATCCGAGAGGTTTTGGTTATGGCGAAAGCCGTCGATGGTTCGGCGCTTGGTGTATGCCTTGATGTTGTAATCGGGAAACTGGCGCGCCGTGCGGAGGAGAGAACGGAAGAGAGAAAGCACTTCGGCCTTTGATGGCCGGGTGGCTGCTGCGTAAGCAGAAAACGCCATTTTTACAGGGATTCTCTGCTCTCCAGAGAGTTGGCGAATGATATGATGTGGTAATGACCAATGACTACCGACTTTTTTGGCCCTCAACGAATGCCGACATAGTTATACGCTGCCTCGCTCCTTTCTATAATCATTAATCATGATTAATCTTGTTAGTAATGTTTTAGATTTATTTTTTTTATAATTATTCCTATTCAATAAAAGTCACTTGAAAATACCGTCAAATTTTCACGGTCTTTTATATTGAAGGCTAAGTAAATAATTAAATATCGTTGGCCAAAAAAATTATGAGGAAAAATTCAAAAAAATCACTATTGAATTTTAAAATTCCAAATTAGTATTGGGTATTATATTCATAAAGAAAATGACTATGTTTAAAAAGCAAATGACAACACATTTTTTAAGTAATTCATGATTTGAAATTTTAAAATTCAACAGTTGTTTTTTAAAAATTTTTCAAAATTAAATATCCTTAAAAAACTTTATAAAAAGAACGATAGCATATTATTGTGGGGGAAAATTATAATAGAGGAAGGCCGTGAAATAACCTTAGACTTTTGAGACTGGAAACAGATTATGAAAAAAAAAATTATAAAATTTGATCGACTTCAACTTGGTTCATACAAACATAACATTTTTACAAGGGATTTATTCTTGCAAATTGGCTGATATAATGATATCTCAAATTTAATTTAGATTTTGGAAAATTGTCAGTTGATTTTGAAATAGCAAATTGATTGTTGTCATTGTTGTAAAGACAATCACTATATGTAATATTAAATTAGCCAGAAGAAAAGAAAACATGAAATATGCATTTTTCATTAGAAGACTGATCTTCAGGCCAAAAAAAAAAAAAAAATAGAACACTGATCCCAAAAATCAACACAATTGGCAGATATTTCTCAGACTTCAATTGAAACTTAATTATTTGCATCAATATATAAAATCTGTTGATACAACTCCTCTTTCTTCCAAAGTAATTTATTGAAAAGTTTCTAGCTTCCCAATGAAGAAGAACAAAAGCTCACTACTTACAGTTACAAAGAGCTTACAATTAGCAGTCCTAGTATACAAGATTTATTAAGAAACTAATTCTTGTGGCGGCTAACACAGGCTGGAGCATCAAAGTTTGGGTAAACAACAAAGACAATGGACAAAGGAGCTACATAAATGGGAGAATGTACATTTTTGTGTACTGGATCCAAATTTGGAATGTCTCCTTGGCTTGTCAACTGCATTGGAATACCGTTTAGCAGCACGGTACGGCTTTGAGGGTCGCGATCTTTCGGAGTTAGATGGTACTCTTCTCTGAAAGTGACATAAGATCCTTTGGTTCCAACCCATGAAAATGTCTTCTTGAGATGATAAGTGAAAGAGTTATCTCTGCGGATGCTTTTCACCTCCTTGGTTCCTTCATTGTTTGGAGCCACGGGGTTTTGAACATTGAGAATGAAATTAGTCTGATTGCTTAAATTGATCAACAGTACTGTTACCCCCTCCTGGAGAAGATCATGGATAGAAATGAAAAATGAGAAGGAAGGTTATGATTGAAATAGCAAATAAAGCCTTTAAATGCTTAGAATATGTATCCCAGGAAGCTCAAGAGTATGTAGGTTTCACCCCACTAAAACAGCTAGCCAGTCATAAGAATCATGAACGCATTTCCCTCATGATAAATTGATCAAGTAATCTTCGATATGCTGAAATAAGATAGTAGACATACAAGTATTGAGAGAGAAAAGAAAGGGTTCTCCCACTCAGCTTAGCAAGAAAAGCCTTGTATCTTCTTGAAAAATTCTTACTTTCACGCGACATAGGTGCAAAGAATCAATGAAAATTTCACAAAAGCAAATGTTTTAGGTAAAAGAGTCAATAGATTTGATGACTTTCTATCAGCTCCTTAATCTATCTTGTAAGATGAAAGCCTGAAAGGAGTAGAAGAATCTCTCTTTTCAACAAGCAGCATGTTAAGCCCATCTGTTCCGAACTATGGGCTAAGGAGTAAACCCTCTTAAGTTTTCCTTTTGAATCTCATCTCAATATTAAAAATTTTAAAAAGTCGGCATACTTACTCTTCCTTTCGAACAATGGGCATACGTACGCAAATAAGGCGAAGAAGAATCACTAGAAGCCTGAAGAACCTTCTTTCCCATAAGCCTTTGCCACAGAAGTGCACTACTCAAAAACAAGATCAGAACTTTGGATTAGATATGTTTAGTGAAGATATTTTTTGAGTTGTTCTAACTTCTAACATCCATAAAAAAGTGTATGAACTCCACACTACTTTCATGAATTTTCAATTGACACTTACCTATAATAGTCAGGATTGGGACTGAAAGTGGTTATATTGAGAAGGCCATAGTAGCCTCCAATCAAAGTCTGCCTGCAATAGACCTTGGTGTTGTAGGTGGATGCCATTCCAAGTTGATCCAAGTACCTATAAGCAAACGCATTTTTGAACTTATAATTAATGACAAATAATGCCTAGATAAATAAATAATGACAAGATTTTCTTTAGTACTAAAAAAATAAACAGAAAATTGGGGGAATCAATAACGAAGATTACCAAAAGCTGTTTAAAAATGTGCTAGAAACATAACGACTGCCACTATTATACGCCCCACCAGCTTCTCCAACCCACGCAGAAGACCAAGGGCCCACCTTTTCAATGCTTTCTGAAAGATTGCCAAATATTGATGCTACGCTGCTCAAATGCCAAGGGTCTAGAATCTTCTTTTCTAGATTCGGATCACTGCCTGAAAATGAGATCACAAACTCTGGTTAGGAAGAACAGACCACCTCATTTTACGCTGCAAGTCAATGAAATACGTAATCTCTGATGCAAGACAACATGTAATTAAAAGGGCATCATTTGCCTGCATATTTTTCAGTACATGGCGAAGGACGCAGCAATAGGTAACAACAATAGAAAAAGCAAGAGACATGAGTTATGTCGTATGAAACTGAGAACAATAAATGCATTCTGCACAGAATAATATTTTCATATAATTGCTTCCACTTAATTTATTATACTAGAGAGAAGATTCAGTAAGAACTCTTATAATAGTATTAGGCAAGGGACAAGCAAACCTGCTCCCAAATTGTATATGTGATGAGTCAGAACATTGATTATTCCAGAACCTGAAACCTGTAGTAGCTTATTATACCAATCCTTTTGATAGAAACCTCCAGGTGCTACAAGTGCAGGTTTGAACCGAGATCGCTCATACAAGATATCTAATATTTGTTTAAGGTGTATCAAGTCTTTTCCATACTGTGCAGGGAGAACACTTGCCCCAATGCCATTACCACTCAACTCATTACCTGCAGCGGCGTAAGCAATATGCAAGATTGAGGTCAAGTGAAGAAGAAGAAGAAGAAGAAGAAGAAGATGACAAGAAGTTCTGTCTGCTGTTCCTACCAAATTCCCATGAATCGATTTTATATCCCTTTGAGATAGTGTAACTAATGAAAGCATGAGCATTGCTAGAGTCCCAGTCTCCTCCCCAAACATTGTGACTAATTTTGTGCCTCCCATAAAGTGCGTTCAAGCCAAATGTCACAATGGCCCTGCAATATGAAACATAAACAAGGTTACATTACATGTACTCATTCGAGCAACCTCCCCATCTTCTTTCAAGCTTTCTCTCAAACAAAAATACAGTTATGCTTGTGAATAGTACGTAAAACCACAAACACAATACACTCACTAGTAAATGATAATAAACAAAGGAATGCTACTCAATTACTCATTAAAAATCATATGCGGACAAAAACTCAAATCAGATACTTTTCAGCTATATATATAATAGTAATAATAATTCTAAATTCCTTCAGGTTGATTGATTCCTTAACGTGAACAAAAGTATTAGTGGCTAGCACAAAGTTTAACTCTTGCCATCCCTATTAGAATATTAATCAGCACAACCGCACAATGATGTGACCAGGGAAACAAACTCTGACTAAAGATGATGCTTAAGAGCATACTTTTGGAATAAGCTACTCAATAGAAAGAGTCATTCAATACTTAGGATAAGAAAATAACAGACAATGACAAAAGAAAACCTCCAAAACCAAGAGAGGAATGTCTGACTGCATTTATTATAAAGGGGAAAATGAACTATCCCTTCAGACATCAAAAATAGGGTTCTAGCCTTCTACTTATTTGTAGCAAATCTTGCACAAATGATAGCTGTCACATTGCTATAGACTTGTAGTGCCCTACGTAAAAACCCAACTGGCATATTTGATTGTTATTTATTAGCTGTGGCTTAATGAGGTGGAGGAGAGACCAAAGAGAGGTGAAGAAAACAATAATTCTCAATGTTAAAATTCTCACCCTGTTCCATTGAAAAAATGATTCAGCTCATCCCACCTTTTCATGTGTAAACATCCCTTTGAAAATCCAAATAATCCACCTTTCATCTTTTGAAAGGGATGGCAAGGCACCTTCAAAGTTTCTACATCATACAGCACTTGGTCTTGCAAAGAACCTCCCATTCTTATCCTCAAAGGCTTCAGAGCTATCAGAAAACCAGTATCGAAAGGATAGCATCATGCTTAAATAATTATTCCAAAAAGATGCCATGGATAAAACCACATATAGAAACTAATCAAATCTACAACACACTTGGGTGTCATTAAACCAAATGAAATAAACTGTTGCTCACATACCCCGTACTGCCTTGGCGAGGAAAGGGCGAGACAAGTCCTGAAAAACAATATATTCAACACGACTAAGATTACTTCTCCGGCTTGCATTTCATAATAGTTAATTCAAATTTGCCGCTGCTCTCTTCATTTGACTTCGATACAAATGAGTTTCAAAATACTCACCAAATTAGTGACTGATGAGTATCCCCATGGGCAATGGTCGTAGTCACATTTGTCATGAGGCCACCAATCAATCGTGGCACAAATGAAGTTATCATCAGTTTCAGCTTTTGCTTGATTTCCATTAACTAGAATTGAAGCATGTATAACTTCTTGACTTGAAGACGGTGGAAGAAAAGCCAAGAAGAGAAATAAGGCAATGTGGAATCCCATTGTTGGATAAGGTGCGACTTACAAGAGCATCGAATTCTACTTATCTACCTGCAGTTACAAAGACGAAATTTCAGTTACAGGCAGGTTTTCTGAAGCCATAGAATTGCCCTTTTTCATTTCATAAAGTTGGAAATAAGAAATCAAGCTCATAATTGCCGAAGTCAGCATGTTAAATCGATGTAGCTTCGGAAGCTAGCTTTAGCAGAAGGTAAAAGTGATTACCAAATTTAACAAAACTGGTGTACATGATGCATCCTTGACATGATTGACACTCCTCTCTGTTGACAACAAAATCCAAAACTATGCTTGCTTTTTCTTTTTTTTTTAAGTAGAAAAACTATGCTTGTTTTTAATTTAAAAAAAAAAAAAAGAAGGAGAAATGTTACAGGGCGGACGACGGTATAATATCTGGGTTACATAAATTGATCTTAATCAATAATCGTCACAGATTTGGAATTATAACAACGGTAACGTTGGATTCAAAGTGGTAATCAGAACTAGGATATTTAAACTATGCCTTTCGAAATTTCTTTTCCGTCAAAAATAATTACAGATTTAGTCTCCACAGAGAATTCAGTTCTGATTTCTAACGCAACTTTGCCAGGAAGAAAAAAACAAGAGACCCAATAATTGCAAAATGACGATGAATCCACTTGTTTTAACGGATAACTATAAGATAAACGGACTACGTCAAGTCTTAGCTAAAACAAGTAGATTGACAACTGCAATACCAGATCTAAGAACTCAAAGTTTGAATCACAAAACTCAACGAATAAGATGAACTAGCTTCTCACCAGGCGTCATTTATGTATGCGAAACCCAGAGCTATCAATCATAAGATTCAAACCACATCTCCAGACAACAGCCGAAGTAAAAAGGATGAATAGAAAGCCTCCGCAAATAAGTAATAAAAAAGAATATGGACCCAGAAGACATGAATCGAAAGCAGACTACAAAACAAAGAAATTACCAAACTAGAAGAACACCCGGATGTAATTCCTAAAATACAACACTTACCCAGGAAGGATAATCCAACACCAGCCTTATCTCAATCCACCACCATTAACGACAACACTAAAGCATAAGTCGGAGGATGCTTCCTTGCATAACATGCCGACACGCTCGGTGCTTTTACTGCTAAACAACGAAGCTTTTATCACTCTGACGTTTCAAAGGCGCCAGAGATAACGAAGAAGGACCACATTTCCCTGTTAGGTGTGAGATAGGTGAAGCGGGGTGGATAAACCTGTCTCAGATGTGTCGGCGCAAGCATACAAGCTAATGCTAAACTTAACGGATGGTTGATTTGGTTTTGTTTGTCATGAAATGATGATGGATAACAACTCACAAGCGAGCTTCCAATTATTAGACGTCGCTTCTATTCCATCAACTGAGTTGGTGGGAAAGTAAGTATCACTTTTAGGTAATGAAAGAGGCAAAATTGAACTGCCAATTCTGTTCTGTGAAAGATAGAAGGTACGTGTAGATTGAGGCACGAAAAGAAAATAAACAGTAAGAAAATTTGATTAGACTCGAAAACAACAGATTTATTGTTATTATTGTTGCAGGATGTCTCTTGCCTTCGGGTAGAAGGTAGCCTAAATAAGAAAACCTTCCTTCTCCTCCTCCCACCAGAACCTTGTTCCGTATCTGCTTTGCTTTGGATTCCAGGAAATGGTTTGGGTATGATTGTCCACAATTGACTCTTAAGATCAATTTGAAGACCCACCACTTGACCAAATACAGTCTCATCACCCGCAAGTTGTAAATTAATCGGATCACTTTGAGCGTGAAATTTTACACGTTAAAAATTAAAAGTGGGGCGTGCGAGGGGACATATATGAAAATTAAAATGTAAATTAATTTATAACATTGCGTTATATATTAATTTATAAATTAGATAAATTAATTTTAAAAAATTTATAAATATGAAAAATAAAATAAATCAAAATATTATATTTAAGTCAGATTGTACGGTCTAACTAACTCTTATATTAAGAAATAATTTTTTTCAAATTATTCTTGCTAATTATACATATTAAAAAATGGTTTGCAAATAATTAGGATATTTTCGAAAAATTAACATATATTTTTTTATAAATAGCTAATTTAATTAATTTTTTTAATTTTGTAATTTAATTAGCTAGCATAAGAAATATTAAAACTAATATTAGAAAAACACAACTTTATGAGCGTAGTTGTTCTTTCAAATTTAGTATTCCAACCCTTATGACGTAGGCCTATATTGATTACGAGGGACGTTGGATATGGAAAAATGATACCAATGTGGACCATTGTCTTTGGGAGGAAATTTCCATAGAAATATTGAGCGTGGGCGTCACGGGGATTTCAAAACTCATGAACAGTGAAATTTGACTCTTTCTTGTCCGTATTTGTTTGATAAATTAACCATATAGAGTCAAAAATAAATTCGATTCTGATCCACTTGTTTTTTGTTCTTCGTAGAATTTTCTTTATTCCAAAAATTTCATCATTATTGAGAAAAAATTAATTGATTTTTCTGCCAACAGCTAGATTTATTTGTTCAAGGTGTGGCCCCAAAAAAAAAAAAGTTATGCCTTCAAAGATTCGCCATTGACAAACCAGGCAAGGCAATCCACAGGTTTTGACAATGGAATTTTTTCCCCCCCTCTTTTAACAACTTTTTTCCTCTTGGCCACCCTTTCTTTTTTCCAACTAACGGATAGATTAATTTTAGTAATATAATGTTATATGAATCAAAATCTTTTTAGTTTATTAATTAAATTCACGAAATTAATTGGGAAGAGGGAGATGTATAATATTGGGATAGTGAAAAGAAAACGAATTCTCTGATTTTTTTTGACGTGACAGATAAAAGAAAAAAAAAATACAAGACTAAACATCATTTGAAAAGAAAGAGCATATTCCTTCCCGGCTCGTTCTTAAGAGAATCCATCAAATAAAAAAAATGTGGAAAAAGTTATTCTTTTCTGCAACAATTATATTCAATTTTTCTGTGGAAGTCAATTAACACACACTTCTCTTTTCACTTTCAAATCTCAGATAGAATAAGAGCAAAGAACCTGGTTCAACTTTTTCTCCTAGAAAACACCAGAATTGTTTTTGGCATCTCCCTTATGTGATTGGTGTGAACACTTATACTACTAAAAAATTTATTAAAAAATTCATCGATGTTTTTTAGGGGGAAAAAAAAAAGGCAGAAACAATGGCCTCCCGTGAGGATTTATGCAACAGTGAACTGGTTGCGTGTAAACACAACTTTTCATTAAATTATGAGAAAAACAAAACAATACTGCAGGTAGGAGAAAACGAGGATTACAAGTATGGTCCAATTACAAGTATGTCGATCACATGTTGCTTTAAAATCTGATAATCCTGTGATGAATAAATGCCGTACGACGACATGAATTTGGTGATCAGCCACCTCTAACAACTGACATAGAAACGAAATGGATCCCCTTTTGGGCTACACAAGTTGATTCTATTTAGATCATATATGGTTGATTATACTCCTTTCAATTCTAACTACTACTTTTTATTTTTAATATAAAAATTAGTTAGAGATTTAATTTAATCTTAAATATAAATTTTTTATTCAATTTGTCTCTCATATTTATTTACTTTTTTTTAAAGTAATTTTTATAGTAATTACATATGTAAAAAAGTTTTCATCACATGATAGTTTCAATACATATAATTAATAAGAGTATTTAAGGAAAGAGAGGACATATTTATTACTACCTTCGGTCCTTAAATTTCGTTTGACTTTTATTTTGATCTTAATTATAAAATCCCAATTTACTTTGTCTTTCATATTTATACTTTTTTTCCAAATTAATCTTTCTAATAATGGTAGTTCTAGCCAATACATTTGATTGGCATGGATATTTTAGGAAAGATAACACATAATAACTAACTTAACTTATTTTCTTAATTTACTCAAATTAATCAATCAGCTCTTATATCAAGGACAGGAGGTTGAATCTATTACAAATAACTAACTTAAATAATTTTCTTGATATTCACTTATTAGTTATCTATAAAAGTTAATTCTTTATTTTAGTTTATTGAGGATTTTTTCAGTGCACATAATTAAAAAATTCATTTTGAAAAAATCAACACAATTTTATTGTACAAATAGGATTAATTAATTTAACTAATTTATTTATTTTTTCCTGTCCATGACTACAATGAATCTGATAGGTTTATGTTTAGGTGTATCACATAATAAGCAAGATTTCTTCATTTTGATGAAGAGGGACAAAGATGAAGAGTCATGCATGCATCTACTGTGATTGAGTTGAGTCACTAACGCAATACTGTCATTGGAAAAATAGCAGGATGTTTTTTTTTTTCCCCCCCCTTCTCAATACTCGTTTCCTTTTTTTAATTTTGCTGGTTCCACCTCATCATCCTCCGTTCCTCAGCTTTCTTTCCAATGGGGCGAGACGTAAATTGCATATCATTAAGGAAGTTTGATGGACATTTTATTAGATGAGCCTATTTTCTGAATTTATTAGCATTTTTATTTTTATTTTTATTTTATTATCGGGTGGGGACTGAGGCGCGGAGAGGGACACAACTCTAGTTTGGCTGCAGTTTCACTTTCACGTAGCAAGAACTAGCCTTCTCTGCTTTTACTGTCATCTCCAAAACCCTAACAAGAATAATCCCGTCTTCATTGCCTGAGACTTCATTATTGTCACTTCCTTTCGCCGATTGTTCAACATACCCACTCTCAATTTCCAATCATTGCATATATTGGAGCTTCTTATTTCAAGGACGGGTTCTCATTTACCAAGAATCGTGTTTTATCGGTTTTGAATAGAGATACAATATTTTAATTTGGCTTTGAAGCATATTCTCAATTCAGTTAGATCAATCTCCCCCAGCATCACTCACTAAAGTGGGCAAATTATCCAACACATTCTTGTTAACTGGAATTTTGATGAATGTAGTCCCTCCTATGAGTTTCTTACCGTCTTGATTACTTGGGATGGAAAGTGAAGCAGTGGATGATCAGAACTCAGGATGGCTAGAAGTGAAAAAGGTGATCCAGACCTGCTGTTGAAATATTCTATCATGCAAATTTTAATTTTTTTTAACTGGTTTCTTATGTATTTTCACGTTGTCGCTTTTTTTTTTAAATATATTTTTTATTTTTGGTTCATGTATGAGTAAGAACTTGAAGGCAAGCGAATAGATATACATATAAAATAAAGAGTTTAAGCTTAGTATATATCGGTTCGAAGCTTGGGTTAATTAATCATATAGTTTCTTTTTATGCCCCGTTTATGTTAAGAGATGCTTGTTCTAGGCGGCATGGCTATACCAGTGCTAGAATAATTCACGGGTCTGTTTCATTGTTCTATTTCCTACCGGTCAGAGGTTATTATATGCATTCTTTTTTATCCGCAGCCAATATTGGTTTGCACTGTCTTTATCTTTCTTATATTAGAGTTCGATTTCAAATTTGGACCTTCATGATTTAGTTTGTAACGCTAGTGTTACTGAATTTCTCCCCGTTTTCTTGCCTTCTTATCCAGAAACACCGGAATACTTCAAAATCCTCTTTGCAGAGCTCTGTTGGAGGACTTTCAGGGAAAAGAGCTTCTAATTCTTTGCGCAGTCAGCGTTCCATAGATAAAAATGACAGAGATTCACATGCCATTTTGCGATCCCATCTTCCAAGGATGGAGGAGAATTTTGTACATAACTCTGGCAGTGTTGCTAGTTCTATGTCCGAGTCAAAGGAGGAAGAGGGCACATGTCACCTTAATACAAATGTGGTTAAACATGACAATCAGATTCAGAAGTCGCATATTGATGATGATTCTAGAGGTGGACACGAAGTTCTTGAGAAACTACCCCTAATCAATAAGCCTGAGGTAGTCCACAAAATTAAGTGGGGTGATCTTGAGGATGAGAACTTTCCACTGCCTCATGAAAACTTGAGTGGAGCCGGAATTAAGTTTGGTACTATTGGAGATGATAACATGCTTAACTGTAGAAAGACTGACAGTGTTTTAGACACAGCCCTTTCTGATTCACCTCATGCCAAAGATAATGTTCCTGTGGCCAAGATTGTTGATTCAGACATGGCTTCTAATCGGATTCCTTCATCAGAAAGCAGGGATGAGATTTCTGTAGAGAATGGTGTACAAGTTAAGGATACATCTTTGGAAGAAATTCCACCATTGAATGGGGAAGAAATCGACCAAGCAGATGATATGTTGAACTCGAAGAGTGAAGGTGATGCTGGCACCAAAACAGTAACTGATAATCACACAGGCGATGATGTTGGAATTTTTGAAGTGCCCCAAACAAACTGCAATTCAGTTAGTGCAGTTACTGACCAGAGTAAACCACATGCGCCTGAATGTGGACCTGATATTGTAGGAGATTCTGCAACTTCTGTTGAAGATGTTAGGGGCACACAGAATATTAATGTGGATGGCATTTTGTCAAGCTCTCATAATATGAGTGCGCTTGAAGAAGGTGACTCAAATGAAAGCAAAGAACGGTTTAGGCAAAGGCTTTGGTGCTTTTTATTCGAAAATCTTAATAGGTCTGTTGATGAGCTGTATCTTCTTTGTGAGCTGGAATGTGATTTGGAG